ACATCAATGCAAAGCACACAAGGTCAGATTTATCCAGAGCAACATCCTCAATATTCTCAATCAAAAGAAAGGATTCATGCCCAAGCACATGAAGTACAATATCAGCAAGATCTGCAACGCAAAGAAAGTCTGCAAGTTGTTAATCGGATTTACAATACGCAAGATCAAGTAAAATTACAATTGCAAGTACAAGACATAGAACCACAACGAGATCCACAGTTGCGCGTAGAACAACCGATTATACTCTCGACTAAATTAGTGGCAACCTCATCACTTCCCGTACCTCAAGGACAAGCACTAGCAGAGACTTCGCTAATACTACGTTCGCAGAAACAAGATACTCCAGCGCAACAAGGACAAGAATATGATATGAGTATGGACAAGTTAAGGTGGTTGACGAAACACCAAGTACTAGCCAATCATCGCATCAACTATCAGAAACTCGTACAGAAAAGGTTTTGGAAAAACGCATCAGCCCACCAGAACAGCTATCACAGCCACATCCAAGAAAACTTGATTATATGCACCAGAATGACAAAGTAAACAGCGCTCCGAATCAAATTAGAGAATGGTGTCTTGGAATTCAGAATTCTAGTAGCATAGCCATGAATGTAGTCCAAGACAAGTTCTTTAAAATCTTCAAAAATCCAAGGAAACGAACAAGGAATCATTCGACGAGGTAATCAGAGTTCGTCAACTCTATGGAAAAATCGGAGAAGTGTAACATAAAATTTATAGCTCTTAAATTTTACAACACAAAATATAATAAAACACTAACAAAATTGATATTGGAGATGGTATTAAAACCCACCTCCAAATTTAATACAAAATAAAAACATCAGAACAATAATAAAAACTTGTAAACAACACACCGTTGTAGTTACAAGAACAAAACTACAGTATGCTTCGCACCTCGCGGATATAAAAGGCGAAGCAAAAGCACAGGAAAGACATTCAGCGAGGTATCGAGCTAAAGAGAAGTCGCTTCAAAACATATGTGCTGAAACATCAAGAATCGAAATTTACATCTCGATTCCCATTTTTTTTTATATAATAGGAATACACATTTCTATTACAATAACTTTTAATAACGAAATTAACATTTCGTTAGTAGTAAGAGAAATATACATTTCTGTTACTTATTTGTTCATAACGAAATCAAATTTTCGTTAATAGAATAATCGGTAAGGTGGTATTTACACATGAATATTATCACCCATACCAATTCCGCGGCTAAAGAAATCAACATTTCACTAGTAGCCCCGTAGAATAGAAATATACATTTATATTATTTACTTGTTTATAAGACAACGTTTCGCTAGTATAGAAATATACATTTCTATTATTTACTTGTTTATAAGACAACATTTCGCAGTAGCCCCGTAGAATAGAAATATACATTTCTATTATTTACTTGTTTATAAGACAACGTTTAGCTAGTATAGAAATATACATTTCTATTATTTACTTGTTTATAAGACAACATTTCGCAGTAGCCCCGTAGAATAGAAATATACTTTTCTATTATTTACTTGTTTACATTTCTATTATTTACTTGTTTATAAAGTAACATTTCGCTAGCAGTCCCGTAGAATAGAAATATACATTTCTATTACTTATTGATAACGAAATCAACATTTCGTTAATAGCAACAGAAATAGAGGAACCTAGATTCGAGTAATAAAACCTCTACCTACGTCGTACGTCCTACCATAGCCAACTTTCCACTGCTCTTATCAAATAAATTTATTGTAGGACTGGGCCTGAAATCCGGCGAGCAACACCTCAGCCAGAAAGGTTCGTTACAATTGGCGCCCGAGCAGGGACAGTGGAAACAGATACCAGTTAACATCGTCATTTTCTTTTACCATGGGACAGTATTCTTATCTCCAGACAGTTGAACAAGTCGAGAAATGGTGTGTTAAATTTAATGGTAGTAAGAACCCGTTGGGCTTTAACGAAAACATTGAAGAACTTGCAGACATCTATGGCATCGTCATAAATCTAATTTCCAAGATAATGCCTATACTGCTCGAAGATAAAGCACTAATGTGGTATCGCTACAACAATAAGCATTGGCAGCTATGGACAAGTTTTAAGGCCGATTTCCTAAATTTCTTTTTGCCACCTAGATATTATGAAAAATTAGCAGATGAAATAGGATCTCGACGTCAAAGGCCACCAAAAAGCTTTAAGGGTTATTTAATTATCATTAAAGATCTGATGCGACATGCTGGCATGGATCAAAATTCGCAACTAGAACGAATATATCACAACATGGTCACTAACTGCCAAAAGTATATCAAACGTCAAGATTTCGAGACTTTAGAAGAACTAATTTTACTAACCGATGTATTCGAAGCACTTGGCACAGAACAGGTTAAAACATGTCGAAGCGATGGTCAAGAAGAAGCGCTCATCAGGCTTACAGTAGTCGAGTATTCACAAGTGATCCCGTTACAGAAACCCTTTAAATGATCCCCGCAGTCTAAATATCGAGTCACATTCCAAATCAAGCACATCAATGCAAAGCACACAAGGTCAGATTTATCCAGAGCAACATCCTCAATATTCTCAATCAAAAGAAAGGATTCATGCCCAAGCACATGAAGTACAATATCAGCAAGATCTGCAACGCAAAGAAAGTCTGCAAGTTGTTAATCGGATTTACAATACGCAAGATCAAGTAAAATTACAATTGCAAGTACAAGACATAGAACCACAACGAGATCCACAGTTGCGCGTAGAACAACCGATTATACTCTCGACTAAATTAGTGGCAACCTCATCACTTCCCGTACCTCAAGGACAAACACTAGCAGAGACTTCGCTAATACTACGTTCGCAGAAACAAGATACTCCAGCGCAACAAGTACAAGAATATGATATGAGTATGGAAATCATTACCAGACAAGTTAAGGTGGTTGACGAAACACCAAGTACTAGCCAATCATCGCATCAACTATCAGAAACTCGTACAGAAAAGGTTTTGGAAAAACGCATCAGCCCACCAGAACAGCTATCACAGCCACATCCAAGAAAACTTGATTGTATGCACCAGAATGACAAAGTAAACAGCGCTCCGAATCAAATTAGAGAATGGTGTCTTGGAATTCAGAATTCTGGTAGCATAGCCATGAATGTAGTCCAAGACAAGTTCTTTAAAATCTTCAAAAATCCAAGGAAACGAACAAGGAATCATTCGACGAGGTAATCAGAGTTCGTCTACTCTATGGAAAAATCGGAGAAGTGTAACATAAAATTTATAGCTCTTAAATTTTACAACACAAAATATAATAAAACACTAACAAAATTGATATTGGAGATGGTATTAAAACCCACCTCCAAATTTAATACAAAATAAAAACATCAGACAATAATAAAAACTTGTAAACAACACACCGTTGTAGTTACAAGAACAAAACTACAGTATGCTTCGCACCTCGCGGATATAAAAGGCGAAGCAAAAGCACAGGAAAGACATTCAGCGAGGTATCGAGCTAAAGAGAAGTCGCTTCAAAACATATGTGCTGAAACATCAAGAATCGAAATTTACATCTCGATTCCCATTTTTTTTTATATAATAGGAATACACATTTCTATTACAATAACTTTTAATAACGAAATTAACATTTCGTTAGTAGTAAGAGAAATATACATTTCTGTTACTTATTTGTTCATAACGAAATCAAATTTTCGTTAATAGAATAATCGGTAAGGTGGTATTTACACATGAATATTATCACCCATACCAAATCCGCGGCTAAAGAAATCAACATTTCACTAGTAGCCCCGTAGAATAGAAATATACATTTCTATTATTTACTTGTTTATAAGACAACGTTTAGCTAGTATAGAAATATACATTTCTATTATTTACTTGTTTATAAGACAACATTTCGCAGTAGCCCCGTAGAATAGAAATATACATTTCTATTATTTATTTGTTTATAAGACAAGATTTCGCAGTAGCCCCGTAGAATAGAAATATACATTTTTATTATTTACTTGTTTACATTTCTATTATTTACTTGTTTATAAAGTAACATTTCGCTAGCAGTCCCGTAGAATAGAAATATACATTTCTATTACTTATTGATAACGAAATCAACATTTCGTTAATAGCAACAGAAATAGAGGAACCTAGATTCGAGTAATAAAACCTCTACCTACGTCGTACGTCCTACCATAGCCAACTTTTCACTGCTCTTATCAAATAAATTTATTGTAGAACTGGGCCTGGAATCCGGCGAGCAACACCTCGGCCAGGAAGGTTCGTTACAATTGGCGCCCGAGCAGGGACAGTGGAAACAGATACCAGTTAACATCGTCATTTTCTTTTACCATGGGACAGTATTCTTATCTCCAGACAGTTGAACAAGTCGAGAAATGGTGTGTTAAATTTAATGGTAGTAAGAACCCGTTGGGCTTTAACGAAAACATTGAAGAACTTGCAGACGTCTATGGCATCGTCATAAATCTAGTTTCCAAGATAATGCCTATACTGCTCGAAGATAAAGCACTAATGTGGTATCGCTACAACAATAAGCATTGGCAGCTATGGACAAGTTTTAAGGCCGATTTCCTAAATTTCTTTTTGCCACCTAGATATTATGAAAAATTAGCAGATGAAATAGGATCTCGACGTCAAAGGCCACCAAAAAGCTTTAAGGGTTATTTAATTATCATTAAAGATCTGATGCGACATGCTGGCATGGATCAAAATTCGCAACTAGAACGAATATATCACAACATGGTCACTAACTGCCAAAAGTATATCAAACGTCAAGATTTCGAGACTTTAGAAGAACTAATTTTACTAACCGATGTATTCGAAGCACTTGGCACAGAGCAGGTTAAAACATGTCGAAGCGATGGTCAAGAAGAAGCGCTCATCAGGCTCACAGTAGTCGAGTATTCACAAGTGATCCCGTTACAGAAACCCATTAAATGATCCCCGCAGTCTAAATATCGAGTCACATTCCAAATCAAGCACATCAATGCAAAGCACACAAGGTCAGATTTATCCAGAGCAACATCCTCAATATTCTCAATCAAAAGAAAGGATTCATGCCCAAGCACATGAAGTACAATATCAGCAAGATCTGCAACGCAAAGAAAGTCTGCAAGTTGTTAATCGGATTTACAATACGCAAGATCAAGTAAAATTACAATTGCAAGTACAAGACATAGAACCACAACGAGATCCACA